GAAAAAGAAAGAGAAGAGAAGGAATATAAGGAAAAGGAACGATCTTTTCATGTCAATCAATCAGTAAATCAACTATACCTCAATTTCAAATTAGTTAAGATTAGCCATACGTATCCCCTAAAACCATTTTGTTCTATTCTGGTCCATCCAAATAGCAGTTCAGTCATATGTTCCATGTAACATGTTCTCTTATAGTTCTATAGATATTACAGTGTCATGGCATAACATTCCTGCAATATAAACTGCATAAGTTTTTTTCTTTTTCCCTAAAAATAAGATTATAGAAAATATATTTTGGTACTATTTTTCAATTCAATAAAGACTCCTCCCACCCTGATGTTGTCTCCTTTAAATATACAGTTACATGCAGAAGCTGGGAAAGGTCAGTATGAAATTGCTCTGAAATACACAGATTGTAGTAGAGCAGCTGACGGTTTAATTTTCACACGTGAAGTCATCAGAGCAGTTGCAAGGAAACATGGGTTGCTTGCAACCTTTGTGCCAAAGTAGGTAGCATAAGTAGCGCAATCTCGGAATTTCCTCACATTACTTTTAGGTGCATTTTTTCATTTTACTTCTAGATGCAGATTCGCTTTTCTTTAAAGTGCTATAGCAATGATACTTTTAGTTCCGCATTCTGTATTTTTGTTGAAGCGCCATATGAAAGTTCTACCAGAAACATGACTGAGCATAACGTATTTCCCATATGACTCACACTATTTCTTACTTTCATGTCTTTATATTTGCTATAATGATATGTGAAATCTCAAGATATAATTTATATTTCTTTACCTTATTTGCTCGACTAAAATGTGTCGCCAGTGTAATATCCTTCATCAAGTGGTGTAAAATAAGAAACCTTTACCATGGCCAATTGGTGGATGCTTGCACGTTTTAAGATTAAAAACACTTTTGGGATCTTTTTTTGTTCCCTTTCAAATCTCTCTTCTTGTCATATACTCTACTAACTCACATGAAATTACTCATCTAGTGCATAGGTTCCTGCCGTTCAACCTTTACTCACACATGGGCAGTCCTGTTTTGATATCATCTTCACAGTTAATCTTGCCTATTACGTGCCTTTTTATATGCTCCCCATTAGTTCCAATTAAACTCTACTAACAACTCCATCCTTCTTGGTTATCAAGAAGAAAAAAAGCGAAACTCTGTCCGTCTCCCTTCTCAACCCCTCAACCAGAGATAGAGAGATGCTTGTGAGAGGAAGAGTTATATCTATACTGGAAAATGGAAAAAGAACACATGCTCTCCAGGGATGTTTCCCTACCTGGAGAGAGCAAAACAAAATTTATGAGCTATATTATTATGGAAAAGGTTCATAATGTTTCATGCAAAATAATTGTTTTTTTCTCTTGAGCTAAAAGAGTAAATGATGTTCCCTTTTCATTATTTTCTGAATTTACTTCTCTGATCATAAATTTACCTTACTTTTGAAGTAGCTTCTTAATTGCAAGTAACTCATGTGCTTATCTCTGGAGATTCTGTCAGGAGCCCAAGTTCCTTGTACTGTATGAATTTTTTCCAAGGGAATCCTCTCAGTTTGTTACCTTGTGGCCTTATTTCTAGGTATAAATTAGATGATATTGGCTCTGGATCGCATGTGCACATCAGTTTGTCCAGGAACGGAGAAAATGTTTTTATGGCATCTGATGGATCAAGTCGGTATGGGATGTCAAAGATTGGGGAAGCGTTCATGGCTGGGGTGTTAAATCATCTTCCTTCCATATTACCATTTACTGCACCACTTCCTAATAGGTTTGATATTTTCTACAATTCTGAATGTCCTGCTTCCTTTATATCTATTGGTGATTGATTTATGCTTTTTCTAGAGGGCTAATTCTTCAAAATGAGCATAGTTTCCGGATAGCAAAGTATTACTTACTACACTTTATGCCATGATTGCAGCACCATTGGCCCTAGTCATAAAGAGGGGAAATGTAGCTATAAAGAACTATATGGCTTCCTGTTTACCCTCTCTTTTAATAAGTGGAGAACTTGTAACTATATTGATTGCCTCACTCTGAAAATAACGATAATTTAATGACAAGTCAATTGTTTTACTCAATTTTTAAATTTGTGAATGACTGTCCATCAAAATTTTGTTTGATACAGGTTTGTGTAATTTATAGTTTCATTAGTTAAATGTTACATGATGAAGGACTATTGGTTCTTAAAGACTTAAAACATACTAGACCTAGTGAAAAATATTTGTCATGGCTTTGTTTTTTGCTTCATGAAATTATAATTAACGGATATTTATTTCCTTATAAAGTTGTCGAATTTGTTTGCTTCGACTACTTCATTCTGAAAACCATGACTTGGCTTTATATTTATGTTATTACTCATTTTTGGCTTTCAAAGAAATGCATTTTTCACTTAAAATCACTAAAATGGTTGGAGATTATTCTTTTCAGATATTTCTTTGAATATATAAAACTAAATACTTTGGTACTTAGATGTATGCTCAAGGAATTTCTGTATTAGACTCTTATTAGTGAAAGGGTTCAAGTAAAAGCTACCTTTTAAGATTAAATTTTTATTTTCCAAAATTTAACTATTTGGAGTACTATGAAGAAATTTCTTTGAACTTAAAGTAAATGATAGCAGGTAAGAGCTAGTCCCATCCTTAATATTCATGAAAGGGTTATGCAGAAAGCTTTTGAATTACGATACTTGGTGAGTTTATGTCTTTGACAAAATAGAAAACTTATAAATTAAAGAAGCTAAGGAAAATCACACTATCGGCACTCTTTTAAGTATTGTAGATAAGTTTCTTTCAGCTAATAGGAGTAGCTAGTAACCCAAAGTAAATAAGTTCCTTTATGAGTTGCCATTTTGGACTCTGTCTAATATTTCCTACTTTTTCCTTCCTTCCCCATATTCTCTTTGTTGTACCTGAAAATTGCTTGTTTTAATGCTTCTTCCTACGTACAGTTATGACCGCATACAACCTAACATGTGGAGTGGAGCGTATCTCTGCTGGGGGAAAGAAAACAGAGAGGCACCATTAAGAGCTGCTAGTCCTCCTGGAGTTGCACATGGCTTTGTAAGCAATTTTGAAATTAAAGCATTTGATGGATGTGCAAACCCATACCTCGGTCTTGCCTCCATAATTACTGCTGGAATTGATGGCTTGCGGAGAAACTTAAGGCTTCCAGAACCAGTAGGTAAGTTAGATGTCTTCTAGTAAAGTCTTCTCTACTTCGTCTTCCACGTTATATTAACCTCTAAGGCCTTTTTTTCCGTCTTGAACTTCATGTTATATTATAAATGCTTATGTATAATCCTAATTTGAAGTACTCATATTTGTACCAAAACTTGGCATTTAAAATCAGAACAAGGTCCTTCCACATTTCCCATTTAAGTCCCATCTTTAATGCTACCCTTTCGGATCTTTATTAGCTTAAGTTTGTGCTCTAGTTGTATAGAGCTGTACATATCTTCTAATTTGAGCAGATGGAATTGGGAGTGGTAACCATGTAAATATACATCAATTCCTAGTATTAAGGTGTCATTGTTTCTCCTCTCTGTGATTTGTCACACCAACATATGTTTGTGAGTATATTTGTAATAGCCATTGAGATTGCTTAGTTTGGTTAGAAACGAATAATGTGAGGATTATTCTATTCGTCTATGAGTACTTTTACACATGGCTTGCAACTTCTGCCTTTGTATAAAAATCCTATTGCTAATGCTGACACTTAGTGAAGTGAGTTATATAGATTTGATAACTCAATTTCCATCTTCACGTTTTTTCTGTTATCCGTCATTCCATTTTCTTTTCTTGTGAAACAGATGGAGATCCTGATATCCTTAAAGAGAATCTTCAAAGATTACCAGTGTCTCTCGCTGAATCTGTAGAAGCTTTAGAGAAAGATACGCTTTTCAGAGATATGATTGGTGAAAAGCTTTTGATTGCCATAATAGGAGTTCGCAAGGTACATTGCAAAGGATTCTACATGATACATGGATATGTTTGACATAATTCCTCTTTTCACTTAACAACTGCTTCCCCTCATAAAATTTGTCTGGTATAATGAAATAAAGAATGATTGCGGCTCATCAGCATTAGCTCACATGTTATACCTTTAGATAATAGCACCTTATTTCCCTTCGATAGGGTATGATTCAAATTGATCAGTTGGATGTTTAAAGGCTGTAGGACTTGGAAGTGCTACTGTATTATGCCTTAATAGTCCAATTATCGACATAAAGGATGCTCAGATCTCCGTTTTGCATAATTTTGATACTGTTCTGTACGAACACAATTGCTAATAGTCGTAAAAATTGCATTTTTCCTTTGCAAAATCACGCGATTTATTACTAACAATATTGATTAACTGTATTTAAAATCCTTTCTATTCTCTAACATCTGTGGACATGCTGAGAATGATTTCCTGTGTTTTGCAGGCTGAGGTGAAGTACTATTCTGAAAATAAGGAAGCATACAAGGACCTCATATACAAATATTAGGTTGATCATATCTACTGTCAGATCAGTACTATTTTCGATTATCAAGCATCAACTGATTTTGCTGTGCCTTATTTAATTTCATTTCATTTGAAGGGGAGCCTTGGCGTAACTAGTAAAGTTGCTGCCATGTGACTAGGAGGTCACGGGTTCGAACCGTGAAAACAGCCTCTTGCAGAAATGCAGGGTAAGGTTGCGTACAATAGACCCTTGTGGTCCGGCCCTTCCCCGAACTCCGTAGATAGCAGGAGCTTAGTAGACCGGGTTGCTTTTTATTTTTTATTTTTTTATAATGCAATAGCTTAATAAAGCATGTTGGCAATTTTAGTTCCTGATGACTTTCGTATAACTTCCTATTATGGTTCTTGTTAGTAAAGATCAATAAGAGAATAATCTTTTGCATATATTAGGTGGGATTATATTCTGTGGTAATTCAGTTTTAAATTTTGAGATCAATTTAAATCTCATGATGCATTGAGCATGCTAAAAAGCAAGGATATAACCTGTATTCATAAATGACAAAGTCTGTGTAATGTATAATTTTTTGTATACGAGAAAAATAACTAATACTAACTTTTAAAGATGCTATAGAAGAATATACTCCTTTGTCATTACATATTTATACAACATAAGCAATTTTCTGAAAATTCTTAGGATTTGTGTCCATGTCAATCAAAAAGTGACTGATGATCCTCTATTAAGAAGCCATTGTTGTCCATCTATAAAAGATATGTCCATGTACTGAGCTGCCTCATTTTGCTTCAACTGTTTTGCATATGGTACCCTATATTCGTAGTTGGCTCCTGGTCCAGAACACTCGTATTCTCCAAATAATACTGTCCTACAAACATAGACATTCAAATTATTCAAACTTGTTAAGGGGAATCTTGGCGTAACTGATAAAGTTGTTGCCATGTGACCTCTTGTGGAAATAGTGACTAATTTCTAAATTTAGAGTGGCTATGTGGTGTAATTTCTAGAGCAAATTTGACCCTATCCTCCTTTTTTCAGTTATATAAAGTGGTTTTTATTCTCTCCACCAAATTCTGCAATAGGGAATATAAAAAATTGTAAATGTTAGCTAGGATAGTTACTGACTGATCTCTAGTTGTATCTCTCCAATCATTCCAGCCATCTGAGGAAACCACATCAGACATATACGTTTTGGAGAATATGACAGTAGCATATGCTCCCCATGCTCTGCCTAGCCATATTTTTCCTCTGCCAATAATAGCACAATTCACAAATGAAAATCCAGAATTTTCAGTTTCCGAATTTCTTCCTTGTGCTGTAATGGATCCTCCAATTCCACCTCTTTCTTCTTTTGCTATTGAATTTATCCTGCAATCCTGTCATATATACCATGTCAATACCAATATTTCTCATAATAAACATTATTATACTCCGCAATAAACATTATGTTGGAAAAATAAGTATAACTTAATAAGAAGGGTAAAATAGATATAAAATGGTAAATTATCCATTGATTTTTCAAACTGGACAACATGTATTTTTAGTATAGTGGACAAGTAAACTTTGACGAATGGAGTAATTATATAAAAAAATTGTACCTCATAAAGTGATCTACCATTTCCAAAGATGAAATCAATGGATCCTTGAATGAAGCAATCTTTAAAGTAATGTCTTCCTGTATCATCATTAAGAGTATCTTGTGCTCCATAAAATCCACATCCATAAAATGCAATTTCATCTCCCGTTACTCTAACTGCCACTGCCTGTGCTCCAACTTCACCAGGTGAAGCCGAAGGAGCTGTGTTCTTAAACAAAAACAAACATAAATCGACGGGTATTTAAGTTATATACGCTAACAATTTCTATACCTATATATTAGTCTATTCAACTAATTAATAACAATAGGTTATTTTATCATTTTTATCAACAACGTAACAACCCATGGTAAATTGCACAAGTGGGATATGGGTAGTGTATCTTACCCCTACCCTATGAGGTAGAGAGACTGTTTTCGATAGACCCTCGGCACAAGAAGATCCATGAAAAGAGACAATAGAACAGTATCAGCAAAAGAGGCCAAAAGATTGTATCATCGATCTAAGGATCAGAAAAATAAATGCAAAAAGCAATCTAAGAAATCAGAAAAATAAATGAAAAAGGCAATATCAGTAACAATGGCAAGGTACTAGGAAACCGGAGTGAAAAAATAATACGAACACAACACATACCACTAGCATACAAAAACAAGGCACTAACAGACTAGCCCTACACCCAGTACGGAGTGGACAAATGCTCAATGGATCGGAGTAACTAATTAATGTTTATATATATATCATAAAAATGTACACCGTTAGTGCATAGAATTTAAATTATAAAAAAAAAAATCGTCAGTGCACGAGAAAATTCAAATTATATGATTGATAATTAGTTTATGAAAAATGAAAGAAAATTAGTGTACCTGGAAGCTGATATTATAGGCTATGAAATTGGGAGCATAAATAGCAACAGTAAAGCTGTTGGCAGTTCCACCAGTAGAATTTGCAGTATCATTCCATGCTATAGCAGTATTAAGGTAACCTTGGCCTTGTATTATTAAATTTGTCTTGTTACTGTTTATCACCACTTTCTCCCTGCCAGAATTGCATGAAACTTTAGCTAATCAACAAAAACTTTTATTAAAAATTCAAGAGTTTAACTTCTATATATACTATACTGGAAGCATTAGATAATAAAAAATCAGATTTGTGACCTTGAAAATACGAAGGTTGCCGGTGTTACAATATGTTAAAATAGACTTATAATATAAAAATTATTTTACACTGTCAGGAGTGACGGAGCAACATGCTACGAAGGGGATAAATAGGGTAAAAACAAGTTTTTGTTAAAGTATACGACATAAATAGGGTAAAAACAAGTTTTTGTTACATATATAAAATTCTGAATTTCCTTAATATAAGAGAAATACAGTTTAAAATCTCAAGCGTAACATGTTTGAATTTTTTTTAAATCCCCTTGGTGCAGTGACATGTCAGCATAACTTAAATAGTTGAATTTCGTTTCAAACTCACAATATAACAAATTAAAGGAAAAAGAAAAGATTACTTGTATGTGCCTGAATCAACTAGAATAAGTGTTCTAGTAGAGCTATCATCAGGAACTGCATCCACTGCCTTTTGTATACTACTAAAATTTGCACAACCATTTAAATCTACTGTCAAAACATGTGAAACTCCATAAACTGATAGAAGCTTGGAGTTCCATTTCGTATCGTCGCATTTAGAATTATGCAGCCTAGTAATTTCTTGAAAGATAAAAAAGAAATCTTGTAAACCACTTTTCTCAACTACCCTTTTCAGCAAAGCAAGTGAAAAGCTAGTACTTTCAATAGTACCATTTGTGGGAGAATTGTAATTGGAATAGAGAGGGAAAATGATGGAAAAGAGTGCAATGGTAAAGGCAATGAACCAAAAGAGAATGGTCCTTCTAGTAGTATTCATAGTTTTAGGTATTCTTGAAATTTTTTGTTGTTTTGCTTACTGTTTTTTAGCTGGCTTTAAAGAGTTAAGAATTGTCACAAACATGACATATTTAATATTGGAAGAATGGCCAGTTTTTTATTCACGTAGGAGGTAAGAGAAGTGTGTGCAAAGGCTCATTCATATATACATGGTGGAAGATATGGGCAGCTGGAAAAAGTGGAGATTAGATAATGGACACGCCAAGAAATTATGTAACGGAAAGGTATTTAATTTACCATTTTAATCTAGTTTAACTTCTATACTCTGATAATATAAAGTATTTTACACTGTTAGATCACCTAAAATATATTTTAAAGTAATAACGGTTCATATAAAAAGTGAAAGAGATGATAGCAATTTAGTTACAACATGTTAAAATGTACTAATAATGTAAAACTCTTTATATTGCCGATGTATATAAGTAAAAATCTTTTTTAAATTGGTGTGAATTCATGATGAAAGCTTTGCTTAGATGCGTGCTTATACGGAAGATTTTAATCTTTTCAAAGCGAAGGGTTGGCCCTTTTCTATCCTATGTTGCTCGGATGCTGCCTTATCCTGTCAGATTCAAAATATAAATATAGCTTTTGAAGGATCCGACACATCCGGCAGTTTTTTTTCAAGAGTTCGAGAAATATAGAATACAACAAAGAGATATAGGAGCTGCTGCTACTTTTACATCAAATCAATGGCGATCTAAGTTGTCTAACTTCTTACATCTTTTACTATTATTTGTTTTTACCTCAGAGAGATTTCAATTAAAAAGAAAAGAACATTGCTGCAAAATTAAGAAAGCTCGAGAAGCTTCTTCATATTGTAATATTATTCTGCTTCTAGTACAGCGCTGTTGCTTTTGCAGGAAGTAAGGAGTATAAACTAAAGAGTTTAACAACATGAAATGACGATCTTTCTTTTTCGCTTAAACAATTTTTCGTCCTTTTATCTGTCAGTGTATTTGAGAATGTTATTGTGATTCTTTATATTCTTTTGGTTATAACAACAGCAAAAGTGTGAGATGATGCATATATAAGCTGACGAGTTGGATGACTATGCCTCAACTACTTTAGTGAACTTATTGACACCATCATGTAAGATGTAACTAACGGTGACGGAGGTTGGAGTATCAATGACCGAGTCAATGGAATTTTGTAGAAAATAGATGAGTCTTACAACTTAAGGGTGTGGCTTAGGTCGCAGTCACTTTATTTATAACTGGTGTCAAAACTTGCACATCCCTCAATACTTCCCAACTGCACTTATTGCCACCGACTGAGCTCTATGTACAAAAAACATATAACTAAAATAGTAGGTGGCAATGGTATTCTGCACTTACTGACTTGAAATAATGTATCCGTCTCTACACCAACTTAGTTACGCAGCTAGGATCAAGCTCTCATATTTCAAAGTTCTTCGGTATTAATAAGGGCGAAGAGAATGTTTCAAACAATAAAAAGAAAAAGCTTCTGCTTTTCCTATTCATGAGGATGCATGCTCGGAATAGTGTTCATCTTCGAATATAAAAACCAACCACCCTATAATGCTTGTTACTGAATTGAACTCTATTAAATCATCACCAATATGAGGTTTTGGAAAAAGTTACATAAATTCCACTTTGAGAGTGGTTAACAAAGAGGGGAGAGGGACTGTTTGACAAGACGAAGGAAAGAGAATCGAATTCAAGATACGCTCGCAGTCATAGAACCTTTTTACACAATTCTGATCCTCTACAGCTCATTTGTAAAAGTTACTACTCGTCCTCTCTGACCAAATAAGATATAATATACATATATTGAAAAAAATGGCTCTACAAAATGGGATAAAACTTATATCATCTGTGTCTAATTATTCATCTGGAACATCATTTTCAGCTTCCCGCTGCTGAATGATTCTACATCTAGAGACCGACTTTTCCAGCATAGATGTGCCTTTAAAGCTAATCATTTGCCAACAGGTTCTTCTGTAGCTGACAAGCTGCAAAGAAAACAACAGCTTAGCATTCAAAGGGCCAAATATGATGCAGCAGCACCAGTATGGAAACATGCTAAACAAACCTGATCTGGTGTTAACTCCTGGAATCCAAATTTCTCAGTCCATATTGACATAGCTTCAACAGCAGCTGGGAGTACAAAGCTTCTCACCCCCAAAAACGAGAGCAATTTTTCTATGCAGGAGAACAGCAACTGAAAGTATCCCTGTAAACATTCAAATATCTTTCATAAAATACACTTCTAATTAACTCGAAAGGCTTCCCCAACATGTAAACTAAGCAAGTACACCATATTTCTATATCATGAAACATCAGAGTTCACAAATATGCCAACTAACATTCACCTTTGTTACATATGGCTACGGTAAAGCGGGTGTTAACCTAAATGAATCTTAGCAGAGCATTTACATATTAGAATCCACGAAATTGTTGATTCCTTTGTCAAAGCCTAAATTCTTATTCTATTGGTATCACTTTAAGGTAAAAAGGGAAAAAATGTTAACATAGAATACTGAAGGACAGGCCAACAATCCAGTGAAAGGTGAAATTTTGGCAGTGGCTGGCAAATGTTGGAGGTCAATATGTTCCAGGCGCATATACCCGGTATTCAAGTTCTTCAAAAATACGTCATTGGTATAAATGGCCAAGCAATAAATATTGTCTGCTTCCTATCGGACAGCTAATTTTCTTTTCGTTGAGTTATGCAACTCTTATATCCAAAAGCCTAAACACGTAAATATAAGGTAATGCCTTCTGAATTTGAGCTGTGCTAAACTGGTCTTCCAAGATGTAATTCTAGCTAACGCAACTAAGTATTGCAAAAAATTTTCTAAGCAACAAAACGTAAAAAGACAGAAAAATAAAAGACAATATCATAGAAGGAACAAGAGAGGTCTTATGAGAGCAGCTTCATTGCTATACCTTGCCTTGGCTACCAACACGGGTTGCCACAAGAGGGAGTTCTGCCCTATCCTGGCCAAAAATCCGGAGGATCCCTGCTGATACTACTGTTGAGCTGCATTGATTAGCCAAAGAGCTTCTTGAGCTAGTTAATCATAACAAGCTTAAACTACCAAGAGCTTTAAATGAACAGACTGTAATACTTACTTTACAGTCAATATAGCGCAATACATGCCTCCAAAGTCTTGGCCCCTAATGTTCCTTCTGCAGGAGGCAAGATAAGGTGAGGAAGAGCGCCTCTAAGATTGGAGCAATCACGAAACTAAATGGAAAATCCAACTCAGGAAACAAAGGAGAACGAAGCCTACCCATAGACCATAGATGGAATGAAGTCACGTCCAGTTACTGAATCAACAATAGGATCGAAACAATCCTGAAAAGTCAATAATGAAAACATTGATGCTAACTTTTTTCCTCAAAGCTAACACATGCAATGAAAGATATACTAGAAATTCTTGAAAGACATGAGAAAGCAAATGAAAATAGTAAGGCACCCAAGTTCTCCCTCTTTGTTCATATGATCGTATCAAAGAAACAATTTCCGCTGCGGTCCGAGATATCATTGCATTAGTCAAGTAACTTGTTTGAATGTATTCTAATAAAACCAATCTTTACTGATTTTTTCGAAGCCTTGTAAAACCTAGTAATTTCTCCCATTTTGCACTTCCTTTATCTCCTCTCTCCTAGTGTTCAAACACTGCTAAGTTTCAATGCAACTATACTATCACTAATCTATTGACAAGAAAGAACCTAAATTTAAAAATTAAAATTAATATACTATCAGCTTTTCTCTTTTTTTCTCTCTCCTCTCTCTCTCTCCTCCCTCTACAACGGTCAGCTCCCTTCCCCCACCCACCCCCGTCCCCTGCCCCCGCCCCCCCTCCCTCTTCCTCCGGAGACCCTCCCGACCTCCGGCGACTCCAGTACTGCCGGCGACGTCCCCCCACCGGTAAGCTCACCCTCTTCTCTTCTCCCTTTCCCCTCTCTCACGTCCCCCACCGGTAAACCCACCCAGCCCCCTGCCCCTCCCCCCTAACCTCCCCTGTATTTCTCTGGCGACAGCGCCGGCGACGTCATCCCCCCCCCCCCACCCCCTTGCCATTTTTTGTATAGATTTCATTCCCCATTCTCCCTTTCACCCTCTCACCTCCTCATCACCCTTACCCACCCCCCTTCCCTGTTTATTTTCAGGCAGCCCCCCCCCTTCCCGAGTGAGGCAGCCCCCCCCCCCCCCCCGCATTTTTGTGTGGGGTGTTGTCTGTGTTGTGATTTTCCGGTACTAGTCGCGGCGGACGAGGCGAGCTTTGAGGCGTTTTGGAAGTGAAAGCGAACAACAACCGGCCGGAACGTCAAGAGTTGCAATGTTACCTCGGGCCGCATCAATAGCTTTACTTTCCAGGTTTTTTTCACCGGGAGTTGGTACCTCCTGGTCTCTTGTTTTACTCTGTACACCTTTTTACATATTCTAGCTAGCATCCTGTGTGTTGGTTTACTCTATCGCTATCTAGCTAGCACCCTTTTTATATTCTCAAACTCCGTGTGTGCATCACTGTTTTCCATAGTCGTTTGAGGATAGTGCCGCGGCGGGGAATGGTGGGGTAAGGTCATGTCCTCGGGGGGCGGGTGGTGGTGGGGTGAGCAGGGGGGCAGGGAGCGGCTCTGTGGGTTGGGGCGGGAGGCAAGGGTGGGAAGGGGTAGCGGGCGCTCATAGAATGAGGATCGGGTAGTGGAACATAGGCACCCTGACGGGTAAAGTCCATTGAGTTGGCGAGATTCTTCAGAAAAAGGTGAGGGTCAGCATCGCTTGTGTCAGGAGACTAGGTGGAAAGGGTCGAAGGCGAGGAATGTAGACGGGTTTAAGCTGTGTATTCTGGGGTCGTGAGGGGTAAGAATGGAGTGGGCATCTTGTGTGGATAGGGATCTTAGGAGTCGGTGTAGGGTGGAGGTTAGGCGATGTGAACGATATGGTTAATGTAAGTTGGTTATTGGTGGTTGCGTCCTCAATTGTATCACTCTTACGCGCCGCAAGCAGGCCTAGACGAGGAGGTTAAGAGGCGCTTTTGGAGGGCTTGACGAGTTGGTGAGTAGTGATTCACCAATCTGAGAAGTTAGTTATTGGAGGAGATTTTAATGGTCATATTG